CTAACTGGTTTCTTTGGAGTAAAAAATAATCTACTCTGTTTTAGGTATTTTAAAAAGAATGGCTATTAGTGAAATAATAAAAAATTAAATACAAATTATTCATAATTTGGGCTGGGGATGTGGCTCATGCGGTAGCACGCTTGCCCAGCATGCTCAAGGTGCTGGGTTCGATCCTCAGCACCACATAAAAATAAAATAAAGATGTTGTGTTCACCGGAAACTAAAAATATAAATTTAAAAAAAATTCTCTCTCTCTCTCTCTCTCTCTCTCTCAAAAAAAAAAAAGAAGTTATTCATAAATGAGGAAGTTTTAAAGAATGTGCAGGGTTTAAATTTCCAAAGTGAATGTGAAAGATATTGGCATGCCAAAGGTCATAAAAGATAATGGAAGAGAACACGAAGGTGAAGATAAAATGAAGTGATACAAACGATAGTATGTTATACATTCTTGGCAATTGTGCATTTAGTGTCATTACTAATGATGGAAACACAATGGGCCTGAAGTGGAAGCCCAAAATGGAGGAATGAAGAAAGAAAATGAGCCAAACTGAAGGAGGTCCTGAACAACAGACTAACTTGGAGTTCAAATCATATATATAATAAGGAACAACTTTAAATTGTGGAAGGTTTAGAAGGAAACCAAGATATTAAATTATCATCTTTTCAAAAGCAAATTATATAAGTACCGTATAGCACCAATCTCCTGATTTCTTCATCTTTACTTCTCATTGTTCCCTAGGGAAATCTATCTGCTTATCATCCCTGTTTTCTTTCTTATAGAATTAACTCTTTCCTATTCCATGTTATCTTCCGGATCTAAATTTCCTTCTCTCTTTTTCATTAAAGTACAATGTTCTTTCTAGTTTCAATTTTCTCCTCACAAACTGGAGAAGTTAGAGGCTGAAAACACACATGCCTGAGAGATGGCTGCCATCATCATTAGAACACCTGGATCCCCTGACCTCTGCTCTGGGCAGATGCTACTCAATTGCAGAAGGAAGGCTGAATCCTAGAGATGCTGTAGGGAAAAATCAGAGGAGTGGAGAGACAGGGCAGCAAAGAACTGGAAAAGTAAAAGAAGAAAACAGGAACCATACACAGAACTATCGACAATTGAAAGAGAATAAAAGAATATATTTAACTAATTAATTTTGTGGTAAACTGATGCCACCTGAAGATATAACACTGGGTAAAAGGAAAGATGGTATAGTTGGAAATGCAAGTGACACAGTAATCAGATTTTAGGTAAGAAAGGAAGGTCTCAGGAAGCAGGAGTTCTCCACGTGAATACACAGACACCTGCAAAAATTAAGGTCTCAGTAGGCCAAATGGTGATTATAAATTTTTGTGCATGTGTCCATATCTCTTTGCTAAAAAACTAAAGTAAATTGGGACACACATGTAATTAGAATCTAAAGAAAAAATAAGAAAATAAAAAAGAAATATAATAAAACTCTAAACTAATTCAGGTCAAGAGAAAATAAAAAAGGAATGCAATAATAATATTTTAACATATTCTTTAACTATGTTGCAAACTGGCCAGTAAGACACCTTACAACCAGCAGAGAGAGAAAAAAAATGGAATAAGCACTAATATTTTGGATGTTCATAAGTTAATAAAAAATATTTCAGGAGAAAGGTAATCAATAGTTATAAATTAAAGAGGGAATGTATAAGGAACTGATAAAATATGCTAATGAGATATCCAAAAAAAGGTGAGACATGTAAGAAATTAAAAAATAAAGGTCATAAATGTAATATTTGTGGAAGATTGTTATATTTAATTGGTAAAATGTTAGGTATGAACTTAATTAAAATAAACTCAGTTCAGCAATGCATAAAAACTCAGATAATAAAGAGTTTAATAAATAGTGGAAAGAAACAAGAGTATATGAAAATTCAAGGGGAAAAAYAATGGGGGGTCATGGGTGTAAATAATGTGCATCATAAAGCCTACAGTATTTTTATTAATTTTTTAAAATACCAAGATGAGTAAGAATAGGGATTGAATTCAACAGAAAAAAAAATAAATTAGCAAAAGAGGAAATCAAGTGAAGAATGGTGGAAGAAAAGAAAGAGGAACAAGAATTGAGAAATTTTGTTTTTATAGCCCAGGATTTCATAGTCATTCATTTATATTGAACTATGAATTTTCTGCTTTTCAAAAAGGGATGATACAAATGAAATACAAAATAAAGAGATTTTTATACACACAAAATTGGTTCAAATAAAAAATAATTTTTAATACCTACAAACAGGTATTAAAAATACCCATACTCTGTAAATCATGTAAATATTTTAGGTATTTGGTGCATTCTCTTTTAGGAACAGATTGATTATCAACATTTGAAACTAGTCATATAAGAAAAGTTTCATTTAAATTTAAAAGATAAAATAAATGTTTGCTTTTCTCCTAAATTATTGGCAAAGTCAGGTGTGAAATATGGCAATGAGTAATGACATAGTATGTTTAGAATTTCATTCTGACCTGAAATAGAAGAGGTCAATTCCATTAGGGCAATTATCTTTGCACCTGCTCACTTATATTTGAATGTTGAATTATTCTAATATTAAGCTTGTTATTCATTTAATAGATACAAAACAACTCCAAATATGATAATAATTTTATTATCTATATCCAAAAACCAGTTTTGGAGATAATTTTCATGTGAAATATGATTATAATTATTTCTAGGTCAAAGTTTGATCTATAATTTCCCCATTCTGAATAGAAATGAATTAAATGACTATTATCATCACAACACTTTGCTATTTTTTTCAGCTTCTTATGTTCATTACTGTCTGTAAGAATCTTAGAGAAAAAGAGTAAAATAAATGTCTGCTAAGCATATGCTCTAGGATTTAAAAATTAATAGGACAAAGCAACCATAAAAATAATTGCAAAACAAATAAAATTTAAAATAAAGGATTAAAATAACTTCATATCCTCTAAAAATATAATATTCTCCAATTGAATATTTTTCCCAAAACTGATCTGGACATTATATGAAACACAATAAAAAATTTATAACTTGATTTCTGACTTCATGATTCTTATTATTTCATTGTAGAGGTGAAGAATTAGGAAGGAAGATAGATAAGAATATATAACAGACATCTACTTATGTGACCACATTTTTATAAACAATATATTCTAGTTTTTGACAGGAGAAACAAATGGAGAAAAAGAATATTTGGGAAAATTCTTAATTAACACAGAAAAATTTGAGCTACTAGAGCGAAAATAATATGTAGGATTTCTAGAGAAGAGGAGAAAGAAAAATATAAGTTGAGAAAACAAAATGAATATTGATTTATGATGAATGGGTTCTTAGCAGTCTAATGAAGCCCTTGGACCTCCTCAGAAAGTTTTAAAAAGTGCTGGGTATAGTGACTCATGCCTATAATCCCAGCAGGTCTGGAAGCTGAGGCAAGAGAACTGCAGTTCCAAGATAACCTCAGCAATTTATCAAGGCTGTAAGCCACCTAGTGAGACCCCTTTTCAGGACAAAACAAAACAAAACAAAAAAACAGAAGAAAAAAGGGCTGTGGATGTAACTCAGTGGTTGATGGTCTTTGTGTCCAAGCCCTGGTACAAAAAAAAGAAAGAAAGGAAGGAAGGAAAGAAGGAAGAAAGGAAAGAAGGAAGGAAGGAAGGAAGGAAGGAAGGAAGGAAGGAAGGAAGGAAGGAAGAAAAGAACAGTTTTAAAAAGTTAAAAAGAGGTGAGAAAAAATTAAATATAGGCAAGAAAATAAATATATTGAAATGTAGTTATTAAAATTAAAAGAATACTTTTTATAAGAGAGAGAGAGAGACAGAGAGAGAGAGAGAGAATTTAAATATTTATTTTTTAGTTATCAGCGGACACAACATCTTTGTTTTTTTGTATGTGCTGTTGAGGATCAAACCCGGGCCGCACGCATGCCAGGCGAGCGCGCTACCGCTTGAGCCACATCCCCAGCCCAATGAATACTTTTTTATGTAGTTAAAAGGCCCTTATTATTTATTTATTTATTTTGATGATATAAAATTTAAACTTCCCTTGCTAACATACTTTGGTCCCTATTGTCATTCTCTTCTCTCTTGGAAAAAGCTGAGAAGATAGTTCCAGAGACAGAATTTTATTAATGCATTTGATAATGAGATTGAACAATGGGTTTAAGTAAACCTATTATTGAATCAGTAGAGATTTTCAAAGGCTGAATGAACATAAGTAATATTTTAAAATATATATAAAAATGTCAATTATTTCTATTAGAAATTCTTTGCTGCTGGTAATAACTTCTGTGGTCTTTTCTTTATATTCACAATTGGAAGAAATATTAATTGTCATGTAGAAATTAAATAAAATGAAAGTATAATATTTACCCAATAAATTCAAGAGCCCCTTCAGTTTTATCCATGGACTTATAAGTATTCATAGATTCTGTCTGATAATTTGGAGAAGACAATGACAGGTCATCATTCCCTAAACATCTAGGAATCTGATGAGTATGAGACTCTCACAAGTAATAAGTGTTTTATGTTATTCTTGTAATAGAATATAAGGAAGAAAATGTTATAATGGACATTCTTTCTTGAAAAATGAGAAAACTGAGGTTAAAGAAGTTTCATGCACCCTGCCTAGTGTTACATACATAACAAATGCCAGTCCTAGGATTAGAATTCAAATAACAGAGTTCTAAAGTCTTTATTTGCTTTGCCTCCTCAGAAATAAAGTAAATATTTTGTAGCCCCCAAAAATACACATGAAGGAACTATGGTCAAGAAAGGAATCATTAAGAACAAAATGATCTGATGGTAACAATTCCATGGGCTACAACAGTAAGGATTATTGTAATATTTTCTCTCCAGATTTTTTGTAGTAGACTAAAATGACCCATTATACTTAATCATCACACCTAAAATGAGGTGAATCCTTTTTATTAATTCTCCAAAGGTGTTTTTTCCCCCAAAATCTATTTTAAAATACATGCAGACACAGAAAACACCCACTTACCAACACTTGCGCAACTTTCTCCATCCACATCCAGCTTCCACCCTTCATAACATGAACACTTGACTGTGTGTTTGTGCTGCTCGCACACTTGGCTGCACTTCAGATGATTGCTACAATAATCCACAATTTCACACGTTTTATTGTCTTTGTTGAGTTGAAGTCCTTCAGGACAAGAACAGACAATTCCTCTTCCGGGAACAACAGAACAGTGGTTGCTACAGCCTCCATTGTTCAGTGAACATTCATCTATAAAAGAAGGGGAACAGATTATAGGTCATATCAATTATTTTCCTCAGTTAAATACTGATCCTTGAACTCAATGCTGAAAGCCTGGAATTAAAGTCAATATACAGTAAATGATGGTAAGAGAAACCTCTTGAAGGTTACAATAAGAATAATGATAGAACATAAACAATGACAAAATTTCATTCTATGTGATATGATTGGGAATGGGAGTTTTTTTTTTTTTCTTGAAAACTTTCGAGTATAGTTTGCTTTAACACATAGACATAAAATATGTTTGATATTTCTGTTATAACTGGAAGGATTGTACTTAGCTATTTAACAGCTGAAAAATTCAATTGTAGATGTTTTCCAAAAATTATGCAAAAACACTCATGATACAAACACTTGAATTATCTCCAAGCTTTAAATAAACAAGTACATGCACATATATGCAAACATGCATAATATATATATATAGTTTTTCTACATGTATCATCTGATTTATAGTGATAATGCAGAATGGATTTCTGTATCCTTTACTGTCTGCAGGTATTTATTTATTTTTTTCAATTTTTTTTAAGTTGTAGATAGACACAATATCTTTATTTTTTTATGTGGTGCTGATGATAGAACCCAGTACCTCATATGTATTAGACAGGTGCTCTACCATTGAGCTATAKCCCCAGCCCTGCAGGTATTTATTTTTGTTAGATAATTTATATATCATATCCTACAATTGGTTATTATAATGAATTCAATCAGTCCATGAAAATTAAGTATTAATACACTAAAAAAAGGTTCTCCCTGGTATTTTGGCTGACATAACAGTAAAAAAGTACTCTCTCCATTATTAATATCATTAATTTAAGGAGACATTTGCTTATATAATATATATGTGTATATATATATATATATATATTTGTTTATATATTTTAAAAATATTTAGATATATTTATTTATCATTCTATTTCTTCGCCAAATTTTAGGATCCATGAGGGCCCACAAAATATGTGTTCTGTTCATCAGTGTATTCTTAGCAGCTAAAAATATCTAACATTGAGTAAACAAAGAAAAATATTTGATGGATATAAAAATATTGTCTAAAAGTATACAATTGTTCCCAAATTGAACCAGCATTGTCTACTTGAGAATTTCAAAATTACATGCTTACACCTTTGCATAAAATAGCAGATTACTGTTTTTGTAACCACACTACTACCTACCAGAGAGTATACAATTAGATACAGAGTAATGAGGTCAAAAGAAGTTTAGGCTTTGCTTTTAAAATGTTTCTGAGTGGTTTTAAAAGCCAGTTTCATTTTGTGTATTTTGAAATGAGCTAAAAATACTGTTTTCTAATAATTTGTGAATTGTGGTGATATTTATTTGTATGTGTGGAATATTTTCTGATTCCTGTAGAAATATATGCACTATAAAAAGTGAACAGAAATGTAAGGCTTCCATAAATATTTTTACATCTTTAATGTTTGTATATGGGTCAACACTTATTATTATTTATCATTATCAAAAATGTTACAGTAATAAGAAAAGAAAATGATTGTATTAACTGTTTTCTTTAAGAATTCAATTCAAGTTCTGCATTATTTTAGGAGGAAAAAATAGATTCATTCATGGTTCCTTAAAATATGTTTCCTCACCAGTAATCACAATCATTTCAAAATAGCAGTCATTTCAAAGTATTTGCCCCATTTTAGTTCAATTGACATTCTCTTTTCAAGAGAATGACTGTAAAGAAATGCCATTGTGCCCAGCAGGAAAAAAGATTGTTACAATGTTTTTAGCTTATTTCAACTATCACCGTTTTCTTAGTACTGAAATGTCTTCTTTCTGATATCTGTGTAATTAAGTGATGGATTTTAGGATAAACAAAATTCATATCAAAAGAAACCTGAATATATTTTAAAGTTAAGATCAATACTTGAACAGCCAATCCCTTGTCAGTTCTTCTTTAATTCAAAACATGTCATTAACCCTGCAACTTCTTTACAAAACTTGTATTATCTGACAAGACTCTGTCCTTGATGGTACTCTGGTCAGTTTCATCTCCTCTCCAATAGTTTCAACATTGGTTTATAAAAACTAGAGGCCCTATGGTACAAATGATGTGTACCCACCCACATATAACATACAAAGAGATTTAAACATCAGAATATTGTCTTACAGTTCCCTAAAATGAACACCAATACCTTGCAGTGTCTATAAGAACAAGCTCATTGATGGAACGAGAATTCCCTATTTCTTCTGGCCAAAATCGGGTGATAGATAAGTTCCTGACCTTTCTCTTAATTATGTTGAAAAACTTGCAATTATAAATACATTCTCTACAATTAACAATAAATGTTGGTGAGGATGTGAGGTAAAGGGGACACTCATACATTGCTGGTAGAACTGCAAATTGGTTCAACCATTATGGAAAGTGGTATGGAGATTCCTCAGAAAACTTAGAATGGAACCACCACTTGACTCAGTTATTCCACTCCTTGATATATACCCCAAAGACTTAAAATTAGCATACATAGTGATACAGCCACATCAATATTTACAACAGCTCAATAACAGTAGCTAAGCTATGGAACAACCTAGGTGCCCTTTAACAGATGAATGGATAAAGAAGATGTGATACATATACACAATGGAATATTACTCAGCTACAAGAAAGAATGACTTTCTATTTTTTCCGGTAAAGGGATAGAGCTGGAGACTATCATGCTAAGTGAAATAAGCCAATCCCAAGAAACCAAAGGCTGTATGTTCTCTCTGATATGAGGATGCTAACTCATAATAAAGTAGGGATGGAAGAATAGAAGTTTATTGGATTAGAAAGAGGGGAATGAAGGAAGGAAGGAAGAATGGGAATAGGAACGCAATAGAATGAATTGGACATAACTTTCCTATGTTCATATATGAATACACAACCAGTGAAACTCCACATCATGTACAACGAGAATGTATTTTGTGTAACCGTGAGGGTCTCCTTCCATTTTCCGTGCAGTTCCCCTTCTCCCTCCCATTCCCTTCCACCTCTTTTCCTTGTTTCGTGGCAAATACATATACGATGGTGTGAGGGGGAAGGGGAAAAAAAAGAGAGAGAGAGATAAGTGTCACAGTAGAATGGGTAGAGAGAGGTGATGGAAAGGGAGGGGAGGGGAGGTAGGGATAGGGAGGGCAACAGAATACAACTGACATTAGGATTGCTGTATGTATACACATGGATGTATAACCAGTGTGATCCTGCAATTTGTACACATGGAAAAATGAGAATTCATACCCTATTTGAATCAAATGTATGATATGTCAAGATCACTGTATTGTCTTGAGCAACTACTAAAAATAAATAAATAAATAAATAAATAAATAAATAAATCAGAACTACTCTGCAACACCCGCCCCCCCAAAAAAAATAAAATGCTAAAAAAATAAGAATGGCTCCTAATTAAAATAAGCTACACTCAATATATGTGAAGTAAGCTAATATACATTCAACTTTTTTTTTTAGGTCAAAAAAAGAACAAGTTAAATCAATCAATCTATCCATTCTCTACCTCCTTGAGATGTAACTTTTTTACCACCCAGAACTCTCTTCGTTTTTTTTTTTTTTTTTTTTTTTTCAAAACTCTTTTTAAGGAGAAGAGTATTCTTTTTGAAATGTAAACATTCAAGGCGATAAGTTACTCTCTTTACTCTATGGATACTTGGAGTTGCTGCCGCTGCTGCCTGTCATAAAGGTATGAAATAGTGTGAGGAGTTTGTTTGCCTCCAGATAAACACTAGTTAACAACCTCAGACAAGTCACAATGTTAATATCACTTAGCGTTTTTACTTTATATACTCCAGCATTTCGAAGTTTCAAGTTTTTTTTGGTTTTGGTTTCAATGAAGTTGAATTTGATTCATAGGAAACTCTTTTTCCTATTGCCATAGTTATTAATGAAGACAATCTATCCTTACTGCTTTACTATGTCCAACTTTGTTTATATTTGACATATCCTTATAATAAGCATAAAAAGCTCCATTTTTTAATGACTCTATTCTCTTCTCATTTATATTGTATGTGCATATCTGTATTAAATTCATTTAAAATTCCCCTAACAAAATATATTTGTCCACTAGGATTAAGACATTTATATTCTTAATTTAAATATATATATATATATATATATATATATATAATATTATTATATTATAAATTCCATATTAAATATATAAATTATATATATATATATATATATATATATATATATATTAATTACAAACAGAGAAGGCAATTCAATGGTTCCACTAGTGTTTGCTTTTAGTTCCACTGTTCTAGTTCTTTAGTGTGTTCACCATCTTAATGGGGCAAGAAAAGTGACCTATGTAGTTCAGTATGCTTTTATTCTACAATCAGGACAAAACTGTCTTTTTATCCTCTATGGTATTTCCACAACCAACTTTCTTTTACCTTACACTCTCTGTAATTCTTTGAAATATTTGAGCAAAGCTCATTAGCCAAATAATAGAATGACTAGGAAAGCAAGAAATGATTTTCAATTCTGAAGTAGACAAATGAATTCAGAAGAAATTTCCTTTCTCTTTTACAATTCAGAAATAGGAGGATAGGAAAACCAGAATGTGTTCTCTTATCACGCTCTTTATTTTTGATAATCTATATTTTCTCTCTTTTACTTAGTCCATTTAACTTGAGGGATGAAGAAAAGGTGAAAAAGCACTAATATTCTTCAATATTTATAGTGCTTCAGACATCATTACCAAGGTTACCTAATAGGTATCATTGCCTATATTGTAATTATTAGGAAATTAATTGAAGTAATTAAAGAATAGAATTTTAGCTTGGCAAAGTCTAGACTCTTTCCATAACTACAAACTTGCTTTTGCGAGTATTGATAGTTTCCTTCTGATAGAATTGTACTTGCTTCCCGCATCAGCAGGCCTTTCATCAACTTGATCAGTTAAGAGAAAAGGTGTGAAGGGAAGGAAGTGAATAGAGACAAATAAATCCTGCCATTTTTTATTTGTAAATATTTTATTGTTTAATTAATTTTAGTTGTAAGGGCTTTTCTTTTCTTTTTTTTATTTTTGTTTTTGATTTTTTTGTCTAAATCTTTGTTGTTTACATTTTAGCCTCTCTCACATTTATTGTTTCAAGATCAGTTTATAGAATTACAAGTCTTTTGAAGAAAAGGATGTTTTACTGCATACATTTAGAAGATAGCAACAGTCCTCTCATCTCATATGTTCTTAATACTCAATTAAGACTAAAATATGATAACTTAAGGTTTAAAAGCAACTGTCTTTCCTAATTTTGCTCAGTCAGCCTCATTATTTCTAAAGCTATTTTATCAAAACCTCCAGTCATCTCATTATTGTTCTTATCATACTATAAACTCATCTTTGTTCTTCTATTGATGGAAACTTCACTATTATCTACAAAACATGCTTTAAAAAACCTCCTTGATAAATCTGTGATCTCCCCCACAGTAGAGAAAATGTGATTTTCCTTTATGTGCACTGCTTGGCATAAGGTAGATGGCTAGGCAAAGTGACTTCAAAACTCATTGAAAACCTTCTTTAACTAGATAAGCATACTAAAGAAAGCTATTGTAGGAGAACTAAAAACTTGAGAGAAAATTATAGCATATTGGAGAAGATTTACATGTTTCTTTAGCCAGTCTCTTTTCTTTTCCTAAAAAATTACTTCTATCATAATGATGAGAAGGCATATCAAAATCCACAGACTGGTAGTAATCCACATCCCATAGATCAATAATAAAAAGGTTCCCCTGTTCTGAGCATCTTACTGACAATAATAATCAATTCAGTTGCAGGTAAAGCATGGGGCATTTGGAGATATAAATGATATGTACAATGCTGTAACTGTTGAAGGAACTGGATACAGTCTAGTTTTTATTTCTGTTTCAAGAAATTTCTGACTATAAATATTTCAATTTAAAATGATTTAAGTTTCTGATGTGCTATGTTTTATAGTACCTAAAAATGAAGTTCAATGCTAAAAGTCACATTTGAAGGGAATGAATGTTAAGGAATGAATGATACTCTAATAAGTAACAGCAAATGGACTAACTGGTTCTAATTCCAGAGTTAAGCAAATGCAATTAAATATGCAATACCGCACAGATCGCCTTCATCAGAACCATCAGGACAGTCTTTTTTCCCATTGCAGAGTTTTTCTGGCTGCAGGCACACTGAAGTATCATTAGCACAAGGGTATTTGGGTGGTCCGCACATAAAACTGTCACAGTCTTCTTCATCTGATTGATCTTCACAATCAATATCTCCATCACATACCCATGCTTTGTTAATGCATCTCCCTTAAGAGAACAGAAACAACATGCATTTAATTTTTGTAATTAGGTCACTGTAATAATGAGTGGCCATTATTGTTTTTAGTCAAAGGCAGAATGACTTACCATTAGCAGGAAATCTTTTGTCAAAAGTCTAATAGTTTGTTTTCATGATAGAATTTGAATACTTCTAGCCCTGATTGATAAAATGCTCTTAAAGTTTAAAATGTGATATTTACTTGCAGTTCCTTCTCAGCAAAAGAAACATTCTGTGAGGTGAATAGAGAGCCTACATCTTGGGAATACACATTTACCCCTCACACATCAGATAGAGCAGTAATCAATAGGGTATATAAATAACTCAAAAGCTAAACAGCAAAATACAAATAACCCAATCAATAAATGGGCCAAGGACCTGAAGAGACACTTCTCAGAAGATGTTGTACAATCAATCAAGAAATACGTGAAAAAATGTTCATCAACACTAGCAATTAGAGAAATGCAAATCAAAACCACTCTAAGATTTCATCTCACTTCAGTCAGAATGGCAGCTGTTAAGCATACAAACAACAATAAGTGTTGGCGAGGATGTGGGCAAAAAGGTACACTCATACACTGCTGGTGAGCATGCAAATTGGTGCAGCCAATATGGAAAGCAGTATGGAGATTTTTTTGAAAATTGGGAATCGAACCACCATTTGACCAGTTCTTCTCCGCGGTCTATACCCAAAAAACTTAAGAACAACATACTACAGGGACACAGCCATATCAATGTTTATAGCAGCACAATTAATAATAGCTAAACTGTGGAACCAACCTAGATTCCCTTCAATAAATGAATGGATTTAAAAAAGTGGCATGTATACACAATGGAATATTACTCAGCAATAAAAGAGAATAAAATCATGGCATTTGCAAGTAAATGGATGGAGTTAGAGAAGATAATGCTAAGTGAAGTTAGCCAATCCCAAAAAACCAAATGCCAAATGTTTTCTTTGCTATAAGGAGGCTGATTCTTAGTGAGATAGGGAGAGGAAGCCTGGGAGGAATAGATGAACTCTAGATAGAGCAGAGGGGTGGAAGAGGATGGGAGGGGGCATGGGGTTATTAATGCTGGTAGAATGTAATGATCATTATTATCCAAAGTATAGGTATGAAGACATGAATTGGTGTGACTATAATATATACACAACCAGAGAGATGAACAATTGTGCTTTATATATGTAATGAGAATTGTAATGTATTCTGCTATCATATATAAATAAAAAAAAAGATGTGATATTTTCTTTAGTTTAAAATTATTTTCATGTGATATTAAAAAAGTTTCTGTGGCTAATTAAAAGTTCATTACAATACTTTCAGAAGTAAAATGTAAAGATACATAAAGATATATTTGTATATCAGTGACTCACTTTCTTTTTGGGGGGGTGGGGTGGTACTGGGGATTGAATCCAGGGCCACTTAACCACGGAGACACATCCTCAGCTCCTTTTTTAACTTTTATTTTGAGACAAGATCTTTCTAAGGTACTGAGGGCCTTGCTAAGTTGTTGAAGCTTGCTTTGAACTTATGTTCCTTCTGCCTCAGCCTCCCTAGCTGGTGGTATTACAGGTATTCGTCCAGCCATTAGTGCATTTCATAACCCCCAATTTAGGTACATATTATAGGTGCCAATCAGAAGCCTAGTGTAGGTAAATATTTTAGCAGTAGTACAGTAGTAATTACATTCATAACCTCAATATCTGAACTCCTCACACTAGACATATGCATATGCTTTTAGAAATATAATATCATATATTATTTAAAAGTTTAGTAGCTAATGTGTAATATCTAAACTTTTCTAAATTATTTTACTTTACTGCTTTAAAAGAAAAAATAAAATGATCATTGTTTTCTAGCATATTTCAAAAATATCTGTGTGAACACAAAAAATAATACTTATTGTCTAAGTAAATATATTTTTACACTGCAAGTTATTCTTCCTTTCCACATTGTTTTATTTTACTCCTAATTATATTTTCTGGATTATACATTATAAAGGTATTTTAAAATGTACCTAAGGATAAATACTAGTTATTTTCTCACCATATACAAAAAGTTCATAAAATAAGGAGTATAAATGAAAGAAAAATGGAAAGTATTATAATTTCCAAAAGTCACTATGTAGTTATGTGACTTCTTAAACTTTAAGAATTATTAAATTTTAACATAATTAAAATATTGGTGCAAAAGTATTTCATTTATAAAAAATTATTACTAATTCCCATACTATTATAAGTTAAATATAAAACACATGGTCAGTTTCATAGTTGATAAAAATATATTTGATGATATTCAACATTAATTATAGGTAAAATACTCTTAAAATACGATTGACAGATACTTCACTAATGGATTTGAAATAAATAGAGAAACATTATACAGTTTTACCTTAACATCATTAATAAAACAAATAATGTAATTTTATATTGTTAAGGAAATATTAATTCAGGTAATTTTATAATAGAAAGAATGAGGTAAAACATTAGGAAAAATATCAATAAATATGATATTATAATTGTAAAACCTATTAAAACTAAATAAAACCTATGAGAAACTAAGAATTCAAAAAATTGCTAATTTCAAACATTATATAAAAATTAATAGATCACATATCAACAAGTGTTCATAATAGAACAAATGCCAATTAAAATTGTACCATGAAATAAAGTACCTGGGATTAGACTCCATATATCTATGTTACATTTATATGAAAAAATATAAAATTCTAGATGACACTCAAAAAATTTAATGAAATTCATGTTTGGTCTTCGAGAGGGAGATTTATTAAGGTAAAGGCATTCATTTTTTTACAAAAATACAATTCTTCTAAAAGAGCAAAATATGTTTGCCATCTAGTTTATTAGGTTATACTAAGTTTAAGAAAATATTACTGCAAAATTTATTAGGACTTTTCAAAAAATAAAATGAAAGAGTAATATTGATGAGAAGGAACTATATATACACCAAATATTTAGAAGCAGTTTAAAGTCACAGAAATTAAAATACTTGTATAAAAAATCAATAACATATAAAGAATCAAATAACAGAGACATCAGAAAAAGACACATTTATATATATTTTAATAGAGAAAGATTACTCAAATAGTTGAAAAAAATTAATTGCAAAATTAATGGTTAACTATCTATGGTCACTGTCTAGAAGATAAAAAAAAAAAAAAAAAAAAAAAACCAGCTGGGCATGGTGGCACACACCTGTAATTCCAGTGACTCAGAAGACTGAGGCAGGAGGATCACAAGTTCCAAACCAGTCTCAGCAACTTAGTGAGGCCCTAAGAAACTTAGAGAGACCTTTTCTCAAAAATAAAATATAAACAGGATTGGAGATGTGGCTCAGTGGGTAAGTGGCCCTGGGTCCAATCCCCTGTATAAATAAAAACAATAAAACAACAACAACAGAAAAAAAAAAAAAAACCCTAAAACTGAATCTCTTTGACTCCTTATTCTATAATAAATTCTAGATTGATCAAAGGTAAACATTTTAAAATAATTATATTAAAAATGCAAACCTTCTAGGAAAAAAAAGCATATTTAAAAAGCTTGAAATGGTCATTATGGAAACCTAGAAACTGTGAATGACATTGATTGGTAAATTTAAATTCATACATTTCCTTTCTACATTACAACAACAAAATCTATATGCAAAGACAGTAAGCAGTGAATAAGTCAGAAAAATATCACTACACTTTTTAAAAGTAAATTATTTCTAAGAAAAAAATTCTAAATTTTATATGGAAGCACAAAAGATCCCAAATAACCAGAGAAAAAAAGAAAAAAGCTGTAGGCATCACAACACCTGATTTCAAGACACACTACAGAGCCATAGTAACAAGAAAGAATGGTTAATGTTTAGATTAGGTGTTTCCCAAAAGCTCAGATGTGAGAACATGCAAAAATATTTAGAGGTCAAAGGACTGAGATAGGAGAGCCTTAACCCCCAAACTGCATTGATCCCAAGATGGGGATTAACTGGCTGGTAACTGTAGGCAGTTAGGGTGGCTGGAGATGGGTCCCTAAGAGCATTCCTTTGGCCTTTAGCTTTCTCTTTGCTTCCTGATACCATGTTGCCAGCTGCTTTACTTTGCCAAATACTTCTGCCATGATGTTCTGCCTCACCTTGTTCCCCAAGAAGTGGAGCCAACTGTCTATGGATTGAGACCTCAGAAACCATGAGCCCCCAAATAAATTTCTTCTCCTTAAAATTGTTCTTATCTGGTCTTTTAGTCACAGTAGTGAAAAAACTTACTGGAAACAGGTAGTACTGGCATGGAAATAGAATCAAAGTCTAGTAAAAGAGAGTAGAGACCCAAAAATATGCCCACATAGCTACTGATTTTTTACACTGATGAATGAACATCCTCTTCAATATGAACTGCTAGAATAACTGAGGATCCATATGCAGAAGTTTGAAAATTGACCCCTATCACTTTTTTTCTTTCTCCTTTTTTTTTTTTTTTGGTTTGTGTGTGTGTGGGGGGGGTGGTCCTAGAGACTGAATTTAGGAGTGTTTTACCACTGAGCTCATTCTTCAGCCCTTTTTACTTTTGAGATAGGGATTTGCAAACTTGCTGAAGCTCTCCCTAAATTGATGAGGTTGGCCTAGGATTTGGGATCCTACTGCCTCAGTCTCCCAAATTGCTGGGGTTACAGGCATGTGCCACCATGCCCAGCTACCCTTATCTCTTGCCCAGCATAAAATCATCTCAAAATGGATCAAATATAAGATCTGACACTCTGAAACTACTAGAAGAAAACATATGGAAAACACATCAAGAAATTGGCTTAGGAAATGATATTTTGGAAATGAGCCCCAAATCTTTTATTTATAGAAAATACCTGTATATCCATATTTATCATGGCACTGTTCACAACAGCTATGATGAGGACTCAACTTAGGTTCCAAACAATGGATGAATCTATAAAGTGTGATGCATGTACACACACACACACACACACACACACATACAC